ACTAGAACCGAATGTGGCAACGCTTGCAGCCAGTGCATATAATTTAGGGAGAGCCAATTTCTGCTCGTATAGTTTTTGAAGAACAAGATTGGAGTCCTGCTTTTCTGTCTTGGCAACGTTATCTTGGAGAAATTGTTTTGACACCCCAATTGTTATGCTTCTCGAGGCCCTTTCCAGTATCACCTACAGCGTGCTTCCAATCTGTGTAGCCTTCAGTGATGAATTTTTATGCACCCGCAGATGTATTGTGAAACACCCGATATGGAAATCCAAAATGGGCGTCCCTTGACACTTAATACTCCAGCCATGGAAATCGATCATACCAGCTGTTACTAAAATGGCGACCAGACTTCGCTGGAAATTTCATTCTCGGTTGCTTTGGAACGTCTTCTTTTCCAATGTCACCTGGTACTCCTGTCTTTTCAGAGCATCTTGGTACTGCATCCGTTGTGTTGCCTGCTGTGGTTTTGATACCAGTGTCAGTCGTAGTAGTGTCGGAACCATGAAGCAATTTGTCTTTTTTGATCAAATATTTATCCATTTTTCTACGTTTGGTTGTTTGATTCATATGAATACAATTTAGAATAATATATGTCTATTAGTTAGTATTTATAAACAACCAATCAAATCTTTTGAATTTTGAGACGGGACAGATTACAATCCAGTATCAGACCAATAATTTTGTTACCAATGAAGCTTTAATGCAGACTTTTTATGATTTTCAACGAACTCAATTGTATCAAATTATCTATTCTAATGTAATTAAATATAAAAAGCTATGATGTCTGGTTTCATCATAAACAGAAAGATATTTAAAAACAGTTCTAGGCCTACAGATAAGAATACTTAGTATTTTGTTGAACCATTTCGCATAACGCAGCCCTGAAATCCATAACCTTAATTTTCGTTACGTATAATCAAAATATCGAAATACTCATCATATGATCGACAATGCAAGAGCAGCTGACTGGTGCACTTACTCCACCATAAAATGCCTGACCAGAATGACCACTGTTTGCTATTCACTCAGACTCAGTTACCTGCCGCTCCTATTGACTCAGGAAAAAGAAAAAGTGTATTTTAAAAAAGTGACCCCTTGGCTACGGGCCTGGGACGACTATTCATCAGACGATCTTACTTCAACCCTATTGAGCGCATGAAAATTGATTTGAAAGAAGATGGAACAACAAAATTTTGAATTGAGACATTGAATACAGCAAGGCCGATACGACTGAATATTTATCATAATGCAGGCATAGCACCCTTTGTCGTCTCGTTCAATACCACTAGCAATCGAGCTAGTAAGATAGTATTATAAGAATCTCAAAGCATGTTAGTCACATATTGAACCATTCAGAACATGAATTGCAACCTCGTTCACGTCAAATCTATTCAAAATCAGTAAATAAGAAACTAACCTCTCGCCCATCGTATCTTATTCAAGTTGAAAAATAAGAAAGATTATCAGAAGAAAACTACCGATCCAGATCACCTATTCCCTTTTTTTAATGAAGTATTTGTTCCAGCCCAGGTCTGTAAATTTGGGAGAATCAAACCCTCCTTGTCCAGAAATCAAACATGTACAGCTGAAAATCAAAGGGTTACGGTATATTGTACTTTTACGAATTTTGCTGATTTTGGATGGATGTTATCACAGCCCCCAGCGACCCTAGTCGGTCGAGAGCAAGGGGTTGGCCAGACAGTATAAGTGTGTAATGTTTAAGGAATGTTCATTATTTTGATATGACTGACTTTTGTAATTTTTCCTGTATCAGCAATATGTTGGGTTTGAATAATAAAGTTTGGTTGAAGATAGTAGAATTGCTAATCTGGCTCTACCATTCTCTTCTTTCTGAAGTTCTGTTTATTTTCTGTAATACTTGGATGGTAATCAAATCTTTTATCAGATTATCTCTGCTGCCGTAGAATAGAATTGGGTAAGAAACAATTGGATGGTTCCAGTTGACGGACATTGCAGGTAAAAACCACAAGAAATGAAAATATATTACTATTATTCAATATGAAAAGAAAGATAGCTTGCGAGGTAAGGTAACACTGGCAGCTGTCAGAATGATAAAACAGTCTTTAGTGACTAAAGTATGAATTTTCTCATATTGAAGAAATTTTATTAGTTTGAATTCAATTACATATATATATATATGCCAGTTATTTATGCTGAGTAATTCCAAAAAATTTTTTAAAATCAATATCAATAACCCAAATACAACAAACAATTAAATCACACAGCTCTAATCAAGGTCAAAAAACAACTTTAGACGCGTGTTTACAAAGTCAAGGGCAGTAACTCAAAAACCGTTCATCGAAAATGCGTCAAGTTAGAACATGTCCGAGATCTATTCCAATGATCACACCAAGTTTCATCAAAATCGGTTGAAAACTGTAGCGTCTATTGTGCTCACAAACATATTTTGACACGTTTTACAAAGTCAAGGGCAATAACTCCGAAAGCGTTCATTGAAAATGCCTTAAGTTAGAACTTGTCCGAAATCTTACCAATTTCAATGATCAAAATGAGTTTGATCAAATTTGGTTGAAAACTGTAGCTTCTATAGTGCTCACAAACACATTTTGACGCGTTTTTACAAAGTCAAGGGCAGTAACTCAAAAACCGTCCAGCGACAATGCGTCAAGTTAAAACTTGTCCGAGATCTTATCAATTTCAATGATCACACCAAGTTTCATCAGAATAGCTTGAAAACTGTAGCTTCTATTGTGCTCACGAACAAATTTTGACACGTTTTAACAAAGTCAAGGGCAATAATAACTCAAAAACCATTCATCGAAAATGAATATTCATGTGGGTGCCCCTACTTTTCTGCACCATGTGGGCTGATGAAGATGAGCAACGCCATGCAGGGTGCAATGAGTGAAATTTTGTTTTTCGATTTCCAACTGTCGAGGGATCCTTAAAGTGCACAGCCTGTAGCCTCGGTTTATTGTATTATTAGAACGACTAGACACATTTTCGATATCAATCCCTCTTACCTACATCACTGACAAGGGGAAACCGGGTTGAAAAATCCGAAGGTATTATCTGAACCCTGGACATTCATGTTAGCAAACAATCATCTAACTCACTGAGCTAAAAGTTAATGGAATGAGAGAAAGAAAATTAAAGGTCTGATAGTAAATTTTTTCAGATTCCCGCGCACAGTCAATAAAAAATTTCTACAGGAATTGAAAAAATTTTAGCATTGATTTAACATTTATAAGATCAAAAAATTAAAAACCTACCCAATTCCGTATTTTCCTCACTGGCTGTGTGAGCTCCCAGTACAGTTAAGTATAAAGATTTGAATTCGTTGAAACAATAGAATGGGCGAAAAGTGTTAAGTTGAAACTCACCTGGGCTATAGCATTTAGCCTCTTTTTCCAAGTAAAATGTTAACATTAAAGATTTAAAACAAAAATACCACATTTTATTTGAACTTTTTACAGTTAAATAGACAATTTCTTGATCCCTGCAGACACTCTTGCACAATTTTTACACGCCCACATGAAAGTGTCACTATTACCCCCATTTCACGATCTACGGATATCGCCATATAACGCCACGATCGCCTAGAGCGCTGTTTGAACACCAAAGGTCGCCGAGATCACCATCAGATCTAGCCTGGGGCGCCAATAGAGCCCATTGGATCGCATCTTTCTCCTTTGGAGCGAAAAACTGATCATGCAAGGTCTCAACTTTTTGGGGGCATCACATCTTATAGATCGTTACTGGAACGGCACTGGGGCGTAAGCTGATCGTAAAGTTCCCTTATATCGCCCAATCCTAAGGAGATATTTTGCGCTCCTCCCGAGTGCGTTGATTGCGACATAGTGGAATGGGGCTTTTAGCAATAAGTATACTCCAATTTTATATAACCCTTTTAAAACCAATTCAGGTTGATACATAGTGGTAACTAATATATTTTAACAAAATATATATAGTATTTACTCTACTTTTTTTCAATTTATTTTAAAAAGAACACAAGAACACAGAACATTATAATGATTTCATCAATACAGATAGACCTCCATATCATATTATTGTTTAGATTGTCTACACACAATTTATCAAAGATCTTTTTGTCGTAACGATCTAGTTCCAGCTATGACCTATAAATATAATTGTATGAAATACGCATCAATGGGGCCTTATTTGGTTTATAAAAATATTTTGCAAAAATAATGGTCTTATCTTAAACGAGTTTTTAATTGTTGTACATGATATTCATCCCATTGACAAGAATCTAAAATGGAAAACAATTTCGATTAAGATAAGCTAAGAAATTCATTTACAAATAATACAACTGAAATGGTGGTTTGATGTATACTTGACACTAGAATGATCGGTATGACAATATCATAATGGCAGTGACTATTTACCGTTGGCGTGGTATGCGCGA